CCTCTTCACTTTTCCACTCTGCGGCCTGGATCGCCAACATCTCCAGGAATGCCATGCGTTGGTAAGGTGTCCTTTCATCACATTGCAGGAGTGTGCAGGCTGGGTTGACAAGTCTGTCAAAGGAAATGAACCTGTGGTCAGCACTGTCTCCTGCTAGATGTAGGTGAACCAGAGGCGATAGTCGCTATGTCTCACTGAAATTCTTCATATCTGCAGTATAGTTCCTGGGGGCATCAATACTTCCAGTAAGTCAGCGAATACAATCATCATTTTTTGTTCTGCTTCTTCCTCTCACACTCCAGCTCTGCACAGGGAGTCTAAGAGGCTGATACCTGGTCCTATTCCGGTACTTACACTGCTTGCCAAAAATGGATTTAATGTTGTATTACAGAGCTACATTAATTATTGTCGTTTATATCTGCCCAGAGTTCAGCTTTAACATTTACATTTTGTACTTACAGTCAACAGAACAGGCAAGAAGCACTAAAAATGATAAATATTAATCAACATTCCTGTTACATTTTTCCACTGCTTCAGGCAATGTTGAGGCAAGATTGACTTTTTGCCATTTTCCTGTCACTCTGGACCAGCTGAATGAAACTAAGATGTAGACCGGAAAATGATGTAAACTAATTCAACATGATCATACGGCTGATATTTTCAACTCTGCCAAACGCTGCTAATAGCACTGGGCTCGCTCTCAAAATAAAGCAGCATTGAGATCTGGAAGTTCTGTTTGGGGAGAGCGAAGGGATAGCTAATGAATCTTTATAAGGTGTATCTAGTGCAGAAGAGATAAATGTAGAGGAAGTCAGCGCTGGAGGTGAAGGATTTATTCACAATTTATTAAAATGGCAGTCTATCATCCTGTCTGCCTGTCTAAGAGTGGGTTCACCAATTTGAGGTCTTGTGATCTATCTATCAGTTCCCTGGTCTCCTCCACCCATGCCCGTCTCCAGGACTTCTCCAGGGCTTCCCCCATCCTCTGGAACTCACTACCCCAATCCATCAGACTGTCACCTTCCCTCCTCACCTTCAGGCACACCCTGAAAACCCATCTCTTCAGAGAAGCCTACCCCGCCCTCACCTAATTTGCTGATCTCCTCTGCTCTTCCCACCACTCCATCCCCCACAGCCACTTCCTCCTGTACCACTCTCCCCTCCCTCCTAGATTGTAAACTCCAAGGAGCAGGGCCCTCGAACCCCTCGTGTATTGTATTGTACTGTATTGTTACTATACTGTCTCGTGTACTGTCTCCCATTATAATGTACAGCGCTGAGCAAACCGTTGGCGCTATATAAATACTGTATAATAATAATCTATCCAACAGGTATATGGTGCTGAATATGCAGATTCCTTTATAAGGGCTAGTTCATGTCTATGCATTGCAATAACAAGAGTGTTAGGTTTCATGCACATGGCTACCAATCAGGGCCGGATCTAACCAGGGGGTGCATTATAAAAAGTCCTGTCTTGGAACTATCATGTTCTTATCATATTGCATGTAAAGGTTTCCAATAAAGGATTTCATCCACCACATTGCTGTTTGTGCGGCCAACCATTCTGTTTTTCCATTGCATCTGTGATCACGGATCGGGCCAGAACCTGCATGTCTGCGGAGGGGTTATACAGATTCAGCACTCACCTGGAGCGAATCGTTTGCTCTTTCAGTTCTTGCATTATAAAAAGTCAGGGGGCATAATGATTGTGATGCTGAGAACCAGTATTCCCCAATCATTCAGTGCACTTTAGTACCATAAGTCACAACCTGGGAATAACGTCTGACAGGTAGTGCAGAGGTGGTGCAGAAGTGGACAGGGAATGCAAATATGTATTAGGTTGTCATGGATTGGGATGCTTAAAAGGAACCTGTGCCTCCTTATATCAAGAGTTCCACCTTACATGAGGGGTACTCACCAGAATAAATTCATTTTCTGGCCACTAAAAGAAATGAACACCAAAATGCCTGACAAACCTGAACTCCTCTAAATGTGCCAAAAATGTGGCAGGAGGAAGGCATTCAGAAGAGCTGGGAAAACACCCAACCTTATGGTTAGGAACCAATCACAATGGTTCCTGATCATGTGATCACCATGATAGTCAATTGTGGTGACCAAAAGAAATATGCTTGTAAGCAAACATCTCTAGTATGGATGGCACTCAATACTTCAATTTCTCTTCACAGATATTGGGGCTGATTTACCAAAGGAAAACAGACTTTCACTTTGCACTGGAATCTTTCACTTACTTTAGTGAATGAGGTAAAGATCTGTTCACTTCCATCATCCAATAATGTGCAAGAAAAAAATTATATTATGATTTTTCTTGTGCGTGATTGGGTATCCTCCAAAGTACATTTTTACCGTTTTCACTAAGCTAAGGGAACATTCCCTTGCAAAATCAAAGTTCTCTTGCAACAGTTTGTTTGCCTTTAGTAAATCAAACCACAGTGTTAGAAAACAATGGGGTAGATCTACGAAAACTGGTGCAATCAGAATCTGGTGCAGCTGTGCATGGTAGCCAATCAGCTTCTAACTTCAGCTTTTTCAATTAGGCTTTGACAATAAAACCTGGAAGCTGATTGTTTTCTATGCAGAGTTGCAACAGATTTTTCACTTTTTTAGTAAATCAACCCCCATATGTCAAGATTTGTGCTCAAAGTGCCATCAGAGCTACATATAGTTACACAGTTCATAAGGTTGTGTGTGTGTTTTAGAAAATAAACCCCATTATCTTACATTATTATTATTATTATTATTAATAATAATAATAGTAATAATAATATTACTACTATTATTATTATATTATAATTGTAATAATTTAATAACAAATATAATTTATTATATTATTATTATTATTATTATTGTTTATTATTATTATTATTATTATTATTATATTGTTATAATTGTAATTATATAATATCAAATATAATTCAATATAATAACATTATTATTATTATTATTATACAGTATTTATAAAGCGCCAATAGTTCGCTCAGCGCTGTACATTACAAAGGGGGACAGAACATGTGACAGAACAAAACCAATACAATGCAAAACATGAGGGGATTAATAATCAAACAACTAAAGTGCCTATTTTTTCACATTTTGCAACATAAACATATAAAAACATAAGCAGAAAATGTATTACTAAAGTTTACTATAGAAAAAACATATATAACCATAAAAACAATGTAAAATTATGAATTATTTAAAAATAACTTTCATCCAAGATTCATCCATTTTCATCCAAGATTCATTTTAGGAAATGTGTGAATCTTAGGTCAAAACATTGATAAATAGACCTTATTGTCCATTTACCTGATTCCTACTGAAATTGCTACATTTGCTCCTGGAGTCCAGGCTTTAATGACCTCTGGCCATGAAAGGGTTGACCAAGTATAGGAGAAAAATGTTAGAAATTCCAACAACTTTTAACATTATTCTTTTTTTTTTCCTTTAACAATGTAACTACAGCCTGTCAGCCCCCTGCTAACAGCTCAGAACAATGCTTCCTTGTTGAAGAGGTCTGATTTCAGTTGGCTGTAATATGACATACCTATATTTAAGGTGAAGTAATAAAATACTGTCAGAGAACAGCTCTGTAATGTGAACATGTTGTTGCGTCCTCCTATATCATTATTTACATTGTTTTCAGTTTGACTGGTTGGCAGAATAAACACAGTAGCTGCTTTCTTTGAAAAGGTTCCTGCTGGCCAAATTCCACCCACACATGGCAGCAAAATTTCCTCCATGTCTCAGGTTCTGCTTGCTATGACTGGTGGAATTTTAGGGGGAACCTCCAGAGCAGAGATAAAATGAAAATGTTATTATTTATATCAACTTTTAGTAAATAATGTATTGATTAGTGCAGGGGCGGACTGACCATTTGCAAACTCGGGCACTGCCCAAGGGCCCGGGGTCAGTAGGGGGCCCCATGAGATGCCCCTGGTACTTTTTGCATAGGCTTTTTTGGGCAAGGACACAGGGGCCCCATGTTCCCCTATTGCCCGGGGGCCCCATGAGTTGTCAGTCCGCCCCTGGATTAGTGGCATAACCATAAAAAAGTTAAAGCGGCCATGCATTCTCTTGTACAAAAATAATAGCACCTACACCCAGTGCTGGGACAAGGTCATGTAGCACCCAGGGAAAATATGCAAAACAGCACCCCCCCCCTTTGTATGAGCATTATTTGTCAGCAAAAATCCCCTCCCTCCCCTCCAAAAAAATTTGAGCACTAATCTGCATGCTTACCCCCAAGCCTAAATTCCTTTTGCAAGCCAAAATTCTCCCCAAACAAAAATTACCCCACTTACAGTACACCTGCCAGCTTGTAGGAAGGCGCTCTCTCAGGGCAGCCACCCCTCCTGCCCACCCCTGGTCCTGGCCCTGCCTACCCCCAGTGCTGGATTTATAAAGGAGCAAAAGAGGCAACTGCTCTGCCCCCCCCCCCCTATAAAAAAAAAACAATATAAAAAAAATAATTAATTGTGGCTAAATGGGTAGCACTTCCGCCTAGCAAGTACTAGGGCCGTTGGTTCGAATCCCAGCCACCTCCTGCCTGGAGTTTGCATGTTCTCCCTGTGCCTGCATGGGTTTTCTCCAGGTACTCCAGTTTCCTCCCACACTCCAAGGACATGCTGGTAGGTTACTTGGATCCTGTCTAAATTGGCCCTAGAATGTATATGTGAGTTAGGGACCTTAGATTGTATGCCCCTTGAGGGTTAGGGACTGATGTGAATGTACAGTATATATGTAAAGCGCTGCGTAAATTGATGGCGCTATATAAGTACCTGAAATAAATAAAATAATATTAATAAGATAAAATATATATAAAATTACTTTCTTTTATTAAATGTATCTTGGGAAGCAATATTTTGCTTTCCATCATCCGCAAAAGTTTTTACTCTGGATTGGTAAATGTTTTAAAAATGAATTTTGGAGGCTCAAGCGAACTACACATAAAGCTCCTATGCTCTCTGGGCTAGTTCACTTAATGCCTGCACATGAATTGTACAGGAACGTGCCGTGTATTCTGTGTGACAGTTCACACTGCATGCAAAATGCACTCCATTTGCGATCTGCAGCATTTATCAATAATGTTAATGACACCCCAAACGCAGGTCGCAAATACACTACGTTTGCTTGCACCGGATGGCATGGCACTTTTGCACCATATGATCCAGTTGCAGTGCATTTCAAAAAGTAGTGCATGTGCTATTTTTGGAAATCACACCACCATAACCATGCATTCCTGTGCCATTCATGTGTGGGCATTGGTGAAGTGGCCCTTAACCTCCCTGGTGGTATGATTATTTCAGATTTTTGGTGCTGAAAACGATACCATTTTTTTGCATGGAAATTTGTATTTTTTTTATATTGTAGGCCTGTAATTTAGGAATAACTCACTGAAATCTGTCCGAACAAGAGTCTAGTAAACATCCCGGATATGATAAAACTTGAAACACAAAATCATAAATTATAATTTAATAAATAATCATAAAAAATAACAATATAACAATAATACATTTAATTAAATAATATATTCAAACCAAAAACAGTGAAATTTGAAATATAGCGCCAAGTTCGCACATCGCTGAGCAAAGTCGCAAAATCGTTTTCAGTGTCTGATGACGAATTTCCCCCACGAATCATTATCACTCAATTCTGCAAGTGGTTCTGATTTACTATCGCTGTTCTCTAGCCGGTCTAAAACCGCTTTTGACCTAAAGGGACGCTTTTTGGACGCCATGGACATTTCTCAGTTTCCAGGCAGAAAGAACAGTCAAAATGCAGACAAGGGACAGGACAAAGCACTCGGGACAAAATGTATGTGAAATGTTTTGAAACAGCAATGTTTTACTATGTAATAATCATTTTAAAAAAAATGACATTTTTAAAAAAATTTCAAATTTGCCGGCGGTTCCGGCGCCCGTACGTCCCGACGTCACAGGGATCGGAACACGGAAGCCGGATGCCGGCATCGGCCGGAGGAGATGGCCGGGGACACTGCAGGGGACGCATCGCGGGAGCGAAGGAGAAGGTAAGCGCTGCAGGGACTCCCTATGCAGCGCTGCATGGTAAGCCCGAGTGTAGCTCAGGGTTACCGCTTTTGGTACTGAAACTTTACCCGAGCTACACTCAGGAATACCACCAGGGAGGTTAAAGAAGGTGGCCAATGACTGTGCATGTGTGTGTGTGTGCACATGTGATGTTGTGTCATGCATTTTGAAAATGTGTGACTGTCATCTTTGAGAATGTAAACCAACTCTGTGTATGAGAGCCCCCCAAATCTGAAGTGCCCAGGGCTCCCCAAAGTCTAAAAATGGCCCTACATACACCCTGTAATGAAAATTTAATTAAGTTTAACGCTTTTGCTGTCAGAGCTATTTCTGCATTGTTTTGTTTGCACGTTTGCTAAAATGCAAAGTTTAGGCCTAAAGAACAGTTAAAACTGCCAAATAATATGTATTTTCTGGAAGCTGAGACCCCGAAGAATAAAAATTTTGTAGTTGCTTCTATGTCACACAATGTTAATGAAACTGTTTATCAAGAGCATATTTTCAAATAAAAATATAATTAAGTTAGATTTAGTGCACAAAAAACACATTATTTACCCTTTTTTTTGTAAAATATAAAAGACGAGGTTTTATAGTGCAGTCATGGCCAAAAATATTGGCACCCCTGTATTTCTGTCAGATAATGCACCACTTCACCCAGAAAATTGTTGTAATTACAAATGTTTAGCATTCTCATGTTTATTATTTTTTTTTTTTTTTTTGGTATGACATAAAAAAGTGGAGAAACAAAATGCCAACATTCCACTCAAAGCCCCAAAAATGGACTGCACAAAATAATTGGCACCTTCTCAAAATTGTAAGAAATAATTGAATTCCAAGTTTCTGATACTCCTGTAATTTGTGATTAAACTCACCTGTATCAATTAACAGATCTTAATGTTCCTGTGTCCACTGTGTGCAACATTGTCAATTAGTTTACAGCACATGGCACTGTAGCTAATCTCCCTGGATGTGGACAAAAGTGAAAAATGTGAAGAGAGATTGCAAGAAAGGATTGTTCGAATTCTGGATAAAGAACCCTGATCAACTCCCAGACAAATTCTAGCTGACCTTCAGGCACAGGGTACAACTGTGTCAGCTCGCACTATACATCACCATCTGAATGAAAAGGGATGCTATGGTAGGAGACCCAGGAAGACCCCACTGCTGACACAGAAACAAAAAAGCCAGATTGGAGTTTGCCAAAACTTACTGAGGAAGCCAAAATCCTTTTGGGAGAATGTGCTGTGAACAGACAAAACAAAATTACAGCTTTTTGGCAAAGCCCATCATTCTACTGTTTTCAGAAATAGAAGTGAGGCCTTTAACCTCCTTAGCGGTGATCCCGAGTGTAGCTCGGGGTAAAATTTCTATACCAAGAGCGGTAACCCCGAGCTACACTCGGGCTTACCATGCGGCATTCTCTGGGGGTCCCTGCAGCACTTACATTGTCCTTCGCTCCCGCGATCTGTCCCCTCCAGCGTCCCCGGCCATCTCCTCCGGCCGATGCCGGCATCCGCCTTCTGTGTTCCGGTCCCTGTGACGTCGGAACGTACGGGCGCCGGAATCGGCGGGAAATTTGAATTTTTTAAAAAATGTCATTTTTGCTGTCATTGCTATTTCAATGCATTTCACATACATTTTGTCCCTAGTGCTTTGTCCTGCGCCCTGCCTGCATTTTGACTGTTTTTTTTTCTGCCTGGAAACTTAGAAAAGTCCATGGCGTCCAAAAAGCGTCCCTTTACGTCAAAAGCGGTTTTAGAACAGCTATAGTAAATCAGAACCACTTGCAGAATAATGATAATTCTTGCAGAATGTGATAATGATTTGTGGGGAAATTCGTCACTGAAAGGCACTGAAAACAATTTTGCGACTTTGCTCAGCGATGTGCGAATTTGCCTCTGTATTTCAAATTTCAGTGTTTTTGGTTTGATTATATTATTGAATTAAATTTATTATTATTATTTTTTATGATTATTTATTAAATTATAATTTATGATTTCGTGTTTCAAATTTTATCATATCCGGGATGTTTACTAGACTCTTGTTCGGACAGATTTCAGTGAGTTATTCCTAAAAATTACAGCCTACAATAAAAAACTACATATTTCCATGCAAAAAAATGGTACCGCTTTCAGCACAAAAAAATGGAAAGAATCATACCGCCAAGGAGGTTAAAGAAAAGAATAAAGTCACTACAGTCACACATGGTGAAGGTTCACTGATGTTTTGGGGTTGCTTTGCTGCTACAGGCACTGGATGTCTTGACCGTGTGCATAGTATTATGAAATCTGAAGACTACCAAAGAATTCTGGGGCACAATGTCAGAAAGCCCCCAGAAATGGTTTCAGACAAAGCACTGGAGAGTACTGACCTGGCCAGCAATGAGTCCAGATCTCAATCCCATAGAGCACCTGTGGAGAGATCTCAAAACAGCAGTTGGGAAAAGGAACCCTTCCAATCTGAGAGACCTGGAGCAGTTGGCGAAAGAAGAATGTTCAGAAACTCATTGATGGTTGCGGGAAGCGACTGATTTAATTTTTTTTTTCCAAGGGGTGTGCTACCAAATATTACATTGACGGTGCAATAATTTTGTCCAGTCCATTTTTGGGGTTTTGCATGGAATGTGTCAGATTTGGTTTTTGTTTCTTCACTTTTTTGTGTCATGCCAATACAAACAAAAGAAATAAACATGAGAATGCCAAACATTTGTATTTGTAACGATGTTCTGTATGAAGTGGTGCATTATATGACAGAAATGCGGGGGGTGCCAATATCATTGGCAAGGAAAGGGTTATTTTTTTTTTACCTTTCCAGTGTGCAGTTATTTTTTCCTTTCTTGAAGAGCTATAGGCTCCACAACGGGTATCCAACACTTTTGGGTATGCTGAATGCCTGGTCCCCTGCGGGGTGCTGTGGTTCCTCCCGCTGAACTCTGAAGGTGGTCATGTGAGTGCAGGCTCAGGTAACTAAAAGGAGTGACTTTTTTCCTAAAAACTTTGGAGTGGTGGAAAGGGGAGATATGAAGATTTTTTTTTCAAAGACGGATTCCCCCACATGTTAGTCCTTTTGTGCTTAACATGACGGGTAGATATTTCAACTTGCAAGTTGTTTAAGAGTAGCTCCCGGCAAAAAGTAACATCAATCAATCGTCTTTTTATCAGCCAGTGCAGACACTTCCACTGTCAGCCTAATGTGAAATTTTAGCTGTTACTTAAGAAACACTTTGAATATAATATAAAAGAGTCTAAGGATAATTCAGTATAACAGGGTTAAGAAAATACATCAAGCAATTGCTTAAAATATACTAAAGGACTAAGCCAAGGCTCCTGCGTTTGCCTGGGGTTCCTCTTTAAATGTGACTAAATTAGTTTCCTATAGGGAAACACATTGCTTTCCGTACTGCAGGTAATTTGATTTGATACCTGGCATCAGGAGAGAAGAAAGATGCATAAAATCAGAGGTTATTATCTGTAATTGCCTCTTGTGAGTAGACACATATACACAATCTCCTGAATATGAAGGAAAGCGGCAGAGCTTTTTGGAAGAGCATGGAAGCTATAGACATTCTCTGTGTTATTATTACTACATGTGTCAGTAATACAAGAAGCCAACCCAAATTACTCTTCTGTGATTTATTCCTGCTCCTCGCTGGCCTTATAAATACTGTCACCATGTAAAACCCAGGGGAGTCTTCACTGTGTAGCTGCAGGCAAGATACTTGACTTGAAAAGGCTAAACACTATTTATTGAGCTTGAGTGACCCAATGGATAACAAATAGGAAATGTGACAGGAAAGGAAGTAAGAAGAGAAGAGGAGGGAAGGGGAGGGGAAGGGAAGAGAAGGGGAGGGGAGGGGGAAAGGAAGGGAGAAGAGAAGAGAAGGGAAGGAGAGAGGGATCGGAGGGGAGGGAAGGAGGAAGGGGAAAGGAAGGGAGGAGAGAAGAGAAGGGAAGGGGAAGGGGAAAGGAAGGGAGGAGAGACGAGAAGAGGAGAGAAGAGAAGAAGAGAAAAGAGAAGGGAAGGGAAGGGGAGGGAAAGGGGAAGGAGAAAGAAAGGGAGAAGAGAAGGGGAGGGGAGGGAAGGGAAGGAAAGGGGAGGAAAGGGGGAAGGAGAAAGGAAGGGAGAAGAGGAGAAAAGAGAAGGAGAGGGGAT